TCTTTCCTCTGGTTTCTCGTAAATACAGCATGAGCGGCCTTGGAATGTGAAATCGACTGTGCATCGCGAGCTAGAAACGGTATTATCTACAATCTATTATCGGATGCCTGAGCGATGATTCCCGATAGTTATTGCGGCCGAAACCCGCTCGCCTCCAATTATCGATTTCGAGAGGGAAAAGATACTCGTGTTTTCACGTATCGATCGCATATATTAGGTATACATGAATTCCGTGCCTCTTTTTCATGAAATTCTTCAGCTTATTGTACTGAAATTAGTGTTGGCAATTCAAGGCATCCAGTTATCTCGGGTACTGTCCGAAGATAGCCGAGTTATTTATTCCTATCATTATTTCATCTTATCTACTCGTCAAATATTCTAAGCACAAAAATATTAAAAGAAAGTCAACATAAAATAAACGCCTCAGGAAATATCTAGTTTTCACGTTAGGATATGTCAAAATAAAAATAAAATACCAAGTGAAGTATTCATTTTTCTCAGTCTTCCCTTGATATCGTATCTTTTATCTGCAGATTAACGAGTGAGAAAATATATTTATATAAAAAAACACATGATTATATATACATTAGAGAAAAACTTATGACTTTAAACACCCGGAAAACCGGTTCTACACGGAGGAGATATTTCTTTTTCACATAAATTCATTTCGATTTATCATGCTTTAACAATTAGAACAGTTAGAAATTCAAATTAAGTTATTTTATCAGTAATTAATTTATTATATTTAAAAGCTTATTACATGTGTTCAAAGAGACGAAAAAAGCTAGTATTATTTCTAATTTTTCTTATTATTGTTGTTTAACTCAACACTTTTTACTGATTAATTAGTTATTACCCAATCTTTTGAAAACATGAGAGAAAGAGAAGGGAGGAAAAGAGGGAGGGGGACAGACAGAGAAAGAGAAAGAGGAGAGGGGGATGAATCAACAGATGTGTCCGAAACAATGTTATTTCGAGAGGACGGTCACACATTTAGCGCTTAATGCGCGTGGCTGAACCACGTGGTGACCCAGAGAAAGAGTTTGAGTTACACGCTCGCTCTCAATTGCAAGACTCTCGGTATTGCGCGCGATTATTCGCGTGTGAACTTTGAAAGCGACTTTAGACTCCGGAGAATATAATTCCCGACGCTTTAAGCTGGATATATACTAAGGAAACGAACAAACAGCGAGTGTGTAGTATGTATATTTTCACGATAACATTAATTTGTTTTTTATAATGCGTTCGAACTGTCAACGCTAAAGCGCCGATTTGTTTCTAACGAACATCTAACGAATCATAAAGATAAAATGACGGTAATAGCGCGCTACCTTCACCTTTTGAGCCGTACATTTCTCAATGGAATTTGGTTTTTCTTTTATTTTCAAAATGGCAGTGCTAAAGTTCACGCACATATTCGTTCGATGTGTACACCTAGTTTGAGACGAATACACAATCGTCTGCGGCATTGAAAGTACCGGCGCGAAATACTCCAGATGGATATGCAGAAGACGGCGTTCGCGGCAACGCGGAAACCGGTGGCAATTGGTCGTACCATGTGACAACGGCCTTGACGGTTATGCCGGCCGATCTACGCGCGCGAGTCGCTCAGTCATTCCCGGAAAATCCAGTCACCGCGCGACGTGGGCATATCTTAATTACTGATACCTATGCTTGCGTACGCGACTGTCATTTAACCGTTACGAGCCGACCGACCGGAAGTCGAGTTGAGGAAAGCTCGATCCGCGATCCCTCGATTTTTCGACCCGAGCCGCTCTCCGATTTCTCTCGTCGGGGTCAAGGATCATTATTATTATGATAATTAAACGCTAAACGACGCGTTTCCGATAACTCAACGTCAATGAATCATCGTCGCGACCCGATTGTCGGATCGACTTCCGTCGCGCGCGACGACGACACGTGCGATGTTGTCTTCTCCGAATTCACCATGGATTTTTCGAATTTGTTTCGCCCCGAAAATATCGTCATGCCGTGAAAACATTCGCAGGTTGAGTGCGATGTAGCGCATTCGCGACCCGCCCCGAACAAAATCCAGCGAGATTAAAGGCCGGTATTCACAGTCAGATTTTATACTTATCTTCAGTTCATCCTCGGCTACAATTCGTCTAAAGATAAACTTAACTCGGGAATAGTCATCTTATTTTTTGGTTTTTACGTAAACAATCATCCGTGTGTGCACAGGCCAGAATACGTTTGTTAAAATTTCGAACAACCAAGGATTTACTAAATTAATTACGGGATACTACGGGAAGTACTTGAAGCGGTTGATGCGGCCGCTTGAAGAGGTGACCCCATAATCGTTTTCAACGGCGTACTGCGCGTAGATTTCCATCTCGTCTACGTCGCAGTCGCCATTCATACCCGTGAGAACGAGAGAGAGAGAGAGAGAACGATGCCTGCATTCATCCGGCATGGTTTCAAACTGTACGGGTGGAGAATAACGCTATTCTCTCCCTTCAGCTTCCTCTCCTTACCCTCCTTCCCGCTCTCTCTCCTCAATGACGATGCACGTCACTACGCCACAAGGCACTCAGCGTTCTCTCACGTGTCGTTCCTCGCGTTTTGAATTACCACCGAGGCCGCGAAAGCTACTTTGTCCGACGATGAGTCGAGAAAATAGCACACGATGCTGTCGCCCAACGCGCTTTGTCTTCGCGCACGGTCATCCAGGACGGCGTATTATCAATTTTATAATTCGTACGAAGATTATCTGCACATCAATCAGTAGATGAATGCAAATTCTTTGCGCGGCGAGGACAAATCTCATCGTACGATCGACAGGTGTCATATTTACGTCGCTTAAAAATTGAATTTTCTCTTCTTCCGATTTTTCAATAAATTCGCCCCCTATAGAGCGATATCCTCGCGTAACAAAGGAACATTCTAATTATTCTAGTAATTCTCGCAGGCATAAATCATGCAATTCTCGCATTAACTCGCTCTCGTCTTAGACGCGGAGAGTTACATCAGGCCGATACAAAACAACGAGCGGCTCACCGCTGTTATGACAGTTGTCAACAGTTCTCATCGAGAGGACCGATCATTTGACGAAGAATGTACTTCCGGAAGACACGTTTCTCTTCCACACTCGCCGCATAACCCGCGTGTACGTCAAAAAGATTTCGCACACTTCATACAACGCGGTCCAAAATAGCCGTGATTACTGGGCGCGGAGCCAAAAATAGAATCCGCGCGCTCAAACTTACGTGAGCAAGATTCGTCTCTTACGCTCTTACGATGGAATTTTTATTAGTGTCGATCACACACACACACACACATCTTTCGGACATCACATTAGGTACCCGGGTAATTAAGAACGCGTTTAATCTCAGAAGTTATCTAATTCTTTTCGTATACTAATACTTTTTTTTTTATTTGATTTTTCCAAATTGAGTTTTCTAGATATGTTATTGTACGATTAATTTGTACGCTTAATATAGATAGCCGAGTTATGCTGACGGTAATAATTCCTGTTGCAAACGACGCGCGAAGAATGCGCAAGATCTGTTGGAGCAAACATACTTGTGTGTACGCGAGGTAACGGGTTCCGGAGGGGGAGGCGAAGGAAGGAAAACCGGTCGGAGGCGCTCGACCGAATTTTTCTCTTCGAGAGAGCAGCGTTACTTCCCGCCGTCACGAGACCGTCCGCGCTTACGTTTGCGCAGCCAAGGACTTTGTTCTCGGCGAACACTGGTCGCACGTAGTGTTCAACTTGTTGTGAAAATGCTAAAATCGAATGGCGAATTTAAGGGAACGCCATACTTGAAAACTACACTGGGAAAAAACGACGCAAAAACGGAAATACAAATGCCGATCGAGCCCAACGAATTTCCAGCCAACACATCGCGAAAAGCGACGAAGACACTGTTTCACAACGTTTTCACCTCGAGAACTCACGTTACTCGCTCCACTTTGCGTCCTCGGCGCAAGTATGCGTACTTTAAACTTCGATCTCGAGACGCGAGGTAAAAACGAGTCAGCTTTGATTTAAATGGGATAGAAACGACAAGCGATTTGCTCATCGATCGTTGATTGATCGATCGATTGATTGACTGATTGATAATATATAACGATGGATATTGCAATAACTAAGAATACGCGCGAAGGTATTTGTGACAAAAAGATTAGCACGCACGACTGACCATTTTTTCCGATAATTTGGGATCTTGTACGATACATGGAGAAGGAATTTTATGGTAAAAGTTCATAACTTTCATCCTTTCGTTTCATATGTGCTATTTATATTTTGGAAACTGAAGTTTATTTTTAATAAGAGAAAACGGTTGAAGTGTCTGTTTCGTAATTTCTTATTTAAATTTACAACGAATTTTGTATTTTCAATTGTTCGATATTAAATATAACTAAGAAAGATAAGTAAACAATTTTTCTTCGCATCACGTATCTATTCCAAGACTCCGCCATTGTAATGTCAATGATCAGGTAGAAACAGGTTACGTGTTAATCGCCGGTAGTTTCAGTGTAAAAAAGTTTCCCGTGTTCCTTGGCAAGATAAACTCTACTGAGGCTACATTCCGAAACGTTCTTTCTGAGGAAAATTGTACTCGATTGTCTCCGAATGATGTAAGATGGATCGATCGAAAATGATCGTCAAGTTTTGGAACAGCTGGCGAGAATAAAATTTTCCTCGAAAGAAACGCTTCAGAATGTAGCCTCCCTATAAGCGCGTAATATTCATACAATATTGTATGAATATTATTCAATATTAAAACAATATTTCTATATTCGAAGAATTTTTGAATATTTAAAAAATATATAATATTAAATAATATTATTCTTTAAATATTATGAGGAGTAGATATACAATCATCTATTAATATTCTAGAAATATTACTTAATATTAAATAAAATTACGTGCTTATAGAGCTGACATCTATTCCCGAGGACTACCGAAAAATATTGATAAAGTTGAGAAAAACTGATACGAAAAAAGAAGCGTGATGTCTTTTCCGTGTACTTACAAACAGCGTCGGGGATCAGCGCACGATCGAAGAGGTCAAACGAAAATCGGGCCACGCACCGAACGAAACTCCTTATACGCGGCCTGGAGTAAACAATTACGCGAGTCCATGAGATTTACTCTGCGTAGACCCGAAACAAACGTTCTCCTTTGTCGTCGTCATTGTCGTTATCGTCGCGTCATCGTCGAACAGTTGACAATGATAATACGCGAATTGCGAATCTGGCGGGAACAATCGGAGCAACTGAAGAGACAGAAGATTGCGTCTCATCGATCGAGCGCGTCGAATATCTCATCATGTTACGCGAACGAAGCGAGAGAGATTTATTCGGACATTCTAGCTGACTCGATAGATCGATCGAATCGTGCGAGATCGTAGCAGCATTCCGCGCTTTGCATAACGACGCCATTTCGTTCCGGTTTTTTGCGATATTACATTTGCATCGCGAGATAAGATCCGCGCCGAGAAAGATCGCGCGGAGGACGACGACGAGAGATCAAACTTGATCGATTCCCCCTCTCTCGACGTGCAGGGCTCGATGAATCCTTCCCACCGGTCGGCGATTATGGCGATGACCTGATGCGAAAGCCAGAAAGAGGGAGGGAAGGGGGGGGGNGAGAGAGAGAGAGAGAGAGAGAGCACGATATTCCATTCGCTCGATAGATCGACGCACGATATTGTTTCGTCCTGCTCTCCGATTGCGTCGAAATCGCGCGCACAAAATTCGCAATTTCGCGTTTTCTTTCCCGGGAAAGGGACACACAACAGGGGGGGGAATCGATTTTACTCACTTTTCTCACAATGTAACGCACGACGCAATAGCCACAAAACTTGCCCGCAGAGGAACGCAACGTGGAAAAAGTCGGCGGTGGCAGGCACGGCGACCACTCACCGTCACAGCGTCTTTCATTCAACTGAAGCCGAACGAAGGCTCGTCGTCGCGCTCTCGCCGGGGTACAAAATTCCGGCTGCTGGAGCGCATGCGCGGCGGTATTCGAAAACTACCGCGATTTCGCTGCCGTTTGAAAGTTGCGGGAAATTCTTCTATAAATATCAAACTACTAACTATGAAGGCCGATCTGACTGGCAGTTACAACTCTTGAAGGGCTTATTATAGTGATATCGTCATATAACTGGTCTATTGTTCAGTAATTAGTAATTGACCCATTAAGAATTAGCAGTCGTAGTTGTCAGCCTTCGCAGTCTGTAGTTTGATACGGGCTCAAAGTGGATTGACCAATTGAAACAAATGGTCTGTTCTTTTTTAATTGCACTGCTGAACTAGCGCAACAAGTTAGAGTGAGACAAGTATATTTTGTCTCGCTCTAACTTATTGCAACGGTTCAGCAGTGCGGCTAAAAAGAACAGACCTAAGGAAACAAAACCGAAATTTGTCGAAATCTAATCCCTAGTCTGATACGGGCATAGGTCCATCCGTGTTCGCTTTAAACGCGAAAATTTCTGCTCGAGTTTACTGTACAAAACATATTTATTCAATAATTTATAGAGATACACATATACAGTGTACAACGTACAAGCTCTAGCATCTTCTCGAAATGCCGCTACTTCGCAAAGTGTGAGTTCGATATTTTCTCTCTCTCTCTAATGTTTATATACAATCACACACACCGTGGTTGTTCTCTTTGTCTTTCCGTAAATTCTTCGCTCAACATTATCAGACGAGAAACAAGATATCACTTTACTACAAGCGACGAGAGAGCGCCGCGGGCCTCGCTCGATGCGGCGACGCCGTCGCCGAGTTGGCGAATCTCTCGAGGAAAATATAACGCCGCCACTCTATAACAATATTCTTTCTGTCGCGAGCCGGCGTCGGGGGAGACCAGCGGCGCGATTAGAATATGCACGGCGCGTAAACATACAAAGTTAAAAAGGGCCCGGAGACGAACGCTCGGACCCGGTTTCCTCTTTCACCTAGTACATAGCTTCGCGTCTACGCGCGAACGTCGTCCGAGTTCTGTCAAAAATATTCTATGTACAAACTGGGATACCTTCTTTTTTTTCGCAAAACGAGAAACCGTAAACGTCGTTTCGCACAGTTAAACGCAAAAAGTCTCGCTCGTACAAGTTTCCGCATCATCATTTTGGAAAATAGAGGCCGCGACGCTTGTTCGCGCTAAGTTTCGACACTTTACACATTACACGTACGCAAGCACGAGACTTTAAGCGACAAAGAAGGTAACGTATAGATTCTCGAACACGATAAAGCGGCATCTGACAATTAATCTCCGGCCTTGAGACAAATCATTCTTACACGCGAGAAATGTGTGTAACTATAAATACGTGGACGCGGCCGTATTTATAATTATCGAGGGGAGAAATCGATGATGATGATAAGAAAAAGCGCAGAATTTCCGAGATCGGCGTACATCAAAACTGACTCGCTGAACTGAAAGTGTTTTTTCCTTCGTATTTCAATACGTAAATTTGCGGATAAACTTACGGAGTGTAAGTACTACGGACGTAGAGTAACGTGGGAACGGAATTTTAAAAAATGTACAAAGCAGGGAGCAAAAGTCTTCGGTGATTTCTCATTACATCTCTCGAACATGGGAAGATTAATCCTGCATGTCTATGTGTGATCTATATTGTAGCCTCAACGGTGGGTCCCGGAACCTCCATCTCGTCACATAAACGAACTTCAACGTGTGGTCCTTACCTAGTAACTCGTTATTGCACAAAATATCGATCTGTCGGGAAACACGTGCAAATTAACAAATTAATGATAGAAATTAGCGATAAAATCACACCAAAGAATCCATTACATGTATTGAGCAATTAAATTAAGCTTAGTAATATAAATTAGTGATCAAATCAATAATAATTACCAGGAACCGAAGGAAACCGTGATTTAAATGGTATCGATATTTTCATTTGGTCCGGGTTCCTGATGATTACTAAATAAAATGACGAACAATCTCCCCCATGTCAGATTATACATGTACTTACATCTCTATATTTCTCCATGCCGTTTAGAACTTTCTTGGCGATAAACTTCTTTACATGTGTTATCGTAGCCTGGGCCGAACACCTGAGAAATCTTCTCTTCAACGTCTTCAAACTAGAGTTCATACACTCCAGACATACGTTAACCTGCGAATACCACTTATATTAACTCAAGGCACTCAAATTTTCATCAGCGTGTGCGCGCTCATAATACCTGTTCATCGGTACGGTGGTAGTCCGACTCAGCGTGGGTATCCGCATTGGCTTTATCCTCCTCGATCTCACCGGTATTAGGTAGGATATCCTTGGGACAGGGCAAGCCTCTGGCTCTGTAGAAGTCTCGCTCCCTCTTGGTCTCATCTGGAAACAAGAAATACTCCGTCAGAGTCTGGAAAAAAGACTCCGGTTGAGGAGTCTACGTGTGCGAACCGTACTTTCTTGGAGATCGGGCACCAGTTTATAGACGATATCCTGCATGGTTCTGTCGAAGCTGATGTACTGTAGTGGATGTGACTGGTGTATGACGATCTGGCACGTCGGGCAGGTGTGCTTCTCCTCCAGATGCTTCACCAGACAGCTCTTGCAGAACGTGTGCAAGCATTCGGTGACAGTCGTGGCGTCTATCAGATATCCGCGGCATATCTTGCATGTTATGTGACTATTGAGGGTTTTCAGCTTTATCCTCCTCTCCATGGCACCGGTGATCACCATTTAACAGAGACGGACGTTGCTATTATCTGCAAATTGATGAAGCACAGTCAATAGACGTAAAGAGAAAGCAGGAGATCTACGATGAGAATTTAAGACGTAAGAAATTGACCAATCGTAATTGATTTTTCTTGTACAATTCGACCGTGATTGGTCAATTTCTTAAGGCTTAAAGCATCTATGTAGTGACCGGGACGAAGAGACGTTTAAAACGGGATCTACAATGAGAATTTGAGCTCGAAGCCTCAGAAGAAATAGTCGAATAATAGAAGGAAAATCAATTACGATTGGTCGATTTCTTAAATCTTCTCATTGTAGAGACCCCGCTGGAATGGGAAGTGGGTTATTCTAACCTAAATCCCGAGTAGGTTACACGGTGCCTCTCGCTGGCTCTAATTGCCGCGACAATCCGCAGGGACGAGTCGCAAGTCTCGCAACATCTTGGCGCACTTCGACCTCGGGCTACGATAAGCAGCGCGGAACTAAGGGAGTTTCACTAAAAATCCGGTTAAAAACAACTCAGTGTAAACGTGACCGACGACAACAAAACGGACTGAAACGGACTGACGGCGGTGGCGCCGCCGCCGCGCAACGCGGCTACGGCGCGAAGACACACGCGGTTGAAAACGGAGGTACATGCTTTTATTCGACAGACGATTTATCGATTTCCCTCGGTGAACAATTATTACGTATGATTATATATAATTGTGTAAAATCTTATATGAATTTTGTCTATATATGTGGTTACATATATGATGATCATATGTGTCTATGCGAAAAAAAATAATGTTACGTCATTTAATTAAATGTCGATATCGTGTGCAATCATCCTATAAGCGCATAATGTTCCTATAATATTATACGCATATGATTCAATATTAAAATAATATTCTTGTAAAAACGTTATTCTAAGAACGTTATATAATACTTTTTAATATTATAGGAATTATATATATACACACCTAGAGTTGAATATTTAAAAAATATATGTATAATATTACAATAAAATTGAATAATATTATTTGTTTTAATATTATCAGTGGTGGACATATAACCATCTATTAATATTCCAAGGCTATTACTTAATGTTAAAAAGGTAAAATATTGCTTAGCGTTTTGTTCATTATTAAGGAAATTCGGGAAGTGAATGAAGGTATCTATCGTGATACACGTTGATCGATTTATTGGAGGCGAGGAACTCGCGTTGCAATAATTATCCTTTACACAATCTATACATTACGCTCTTACGTAACTTAGGTAAATGCTCATCTGCTAATTATTACGCGGTGTTTGGATGCTGTGAGTATAAGTAATCTTTAAATAAACGGTCGGCATATGTACAGGTGTCATCTTCGGATTATTCCCAGCTATTACTACAACACGTGATCCACTATTATATTATATCGCTTTTTACAAAAGTGCTGCTCGAACGATACTCCGCTTAGGATTATGTAAAAAAGACGAGGAGGAAGAAGAAGAAGAAAATGATGAAATAACGAGAAAAGGATCCTCAATGTATATCGTACGTCTCGAGACACGTCGGTGAATAAGAAAAATAAATTATCTATCGCTAAGAACCTCTTATATATCCCCTGTTTATACATTTATCGTGATATCGATATCGGTACAGTTAAAAGACTTACAGCGATATTCTCTCTCGGGATTTTGGACCTCCTTTTCTCGCGAAACAACGGAATCTCTGCCTCTCGTCTTGACGCGCGAAAGAGGAAGAGAGGAGGGGGGAAGAGAGAAAGAAGCATCTTTTTCTCGCTCTTGTCGCATGGAGAAAACAAATTTTGCTGAAACGGCAAATGTTTGTCGATATAGTGACAGCAAAAAAAAAATTTGTTTGGACAGCGGAAAGATGATTGGAAAATATTAATTGCTATTTGCTGGATGATTAATATATTTTTTAAATATTCAAATATTTTAAACAAATTTTTTTCGCCGTCATTATATCGACAAGCGTTTGCTTTTTTGATAAAATTTGTCTTCTACGTACGCGTTCGATCTTTCCCGTACACATATTTCCATAATCTCCTCTTCGCGTTCTTCATTCTTTTCTCTGTTCTTTTTTTCTCTTTTTCTTTTTTTTTATAAAATCGCCATCACATGTCGAGAACACGCCACTGCCGCTGCATGTACAAAAACTTGGCTTCGTCCGTCTGACGAACACTAGTCACGTAAAAACACTAAGGGCATCTCTACCAGCTACTATGATACAGAGAGAAAACGCGCAGGTTTTCCGGTTACACGGTTGACTAGTTATAAAAAAACGCAACGTCGTGCCCCCGCTCGGTAGTTCGGTTTTCGGCGCTCGCGAGGACTCTCGTCGACGATCCGCATTCCGCTTTCCGTTCGCCTCGCGAAGTCCCGTAATTCGCGAGCGCGATCCGCCGCAAGGCACTGCTTCATGGCACAATTATTGTTACATCTACGAGTACCTGTAGATTCGTACAGGCGATCCGGGAATCCGCGTCAGCGCGCGTCGAGGGAAAGCCGTCCGGTCTTTTCCACTCGCGCGCGTAGTCTTCCGCTCTAATCCTAAACGCATGTAGCACGTCGATCCGCGTAGAAAAATAATATAATACAGAATGTCCGATTTCTTGAGTTGACTTCTCTCTCTCTCTCTCTCTCTCTCTCTCTCTCTCTCTCTCTGCTGATCTGTGTTGAGAAAAAGCAGTAGAATCAGCGAAATAAACGATCAGCCGACATCAATGTAAAGTTATCTCAGAATTCAATCAGGAATACGACCTTTCAACAGACAAACGTTTATTTCGAATCACCCTCTTCAAACGGTGTGCTCGACGAAAGTTTGTTCGTAAGCAAAATTTCGCTGACTCTGCTATTTTTTTCGTCTCAGTGTACAAAAGAGGATTAATGCGGTCCTATTTCCTGAATATAGTGACATAAAAATTCCCAATTAAACGCATTACGTCTGAATATTCGTGTATCATGACCAGTGTTTACCTCAAATGATTTCGGAACGTTTACCTCAGGTTGATTTAGATGAAAGTGAGGTGAAAAATGTTTCTTAAATGAAATGGGGACGATTATACAAATTTATAATAAAAATTACGCAGATCATAAAAATTCACAACGGTTAAGTAATTCGTCAGCGTAATCGCTCGAAATTTAAGAATCTAACAAAGAACACCAATAATCACTGACTGTTCGCTGTGTGAACACAGTTACAATGTGAAATATTCAGAAATGATGCTTCCAAATTGAAAATTTTCAACATTACTACGCCTAGAGGGAATGAGAGTGCATTAATAGAATCTCCTGTACGATCAACGCGCTCTCCCTTAACTCTACATGAGGAATACGCGCTACAGGTCAATACTGATTCATCTTATTTGGCGTGTTCAGTTTGCTTCAGTCGATATCGTCTTCCACGTGTGGCCATTTCGGGCGATCTCACTCGTTTGTTTTTCGCGTTTCGACTCACACGTTCCCGCACGGTAAGACGCCAGGTACACGCCGATGTGTTTCTCCGTGGTCTGCGAGTCATTCTCGGATCACTTCGCGCTTAGCCTGCGTCCGCATGATAATCTTTCCGTCAAATCGCGGTGAGCTGCACGCCTCACAGCAGGTATGGAAATTTCTCCTCGCCGTCCTCCTCCGTCGCGCTCGATTCTTGGCTGGACGGAGGTGTATCCAATTGAGGCAGGCCAAGATCCAGATATTCCTGGGAAATGTCGACGGTGCGCGTTATTGGCAAAAATATTCTTAATGATTATTTATTAATGCGAAGGAAGGAGAGAAATTACCTCGTTCGCGGTAATGGTCAATATTCTGTCGAGATCCTCCACCAGTTCCACGAACGTCGGCCTCTCGTTTGGCTGATAACTCCAGCATTCCCTCATGAGCATGTATCTACACAATCGACGTATCGGGGAATGTATTTTCGCGCATATTATAAAGTCGAATCGCGTGTCAAAGCGTGTCTTACATCTCGATCGAGCAACAGGGCGGCTTCTCCATTCGGTGTCCGGTTCTAAGTAGCTGGAATAGTCTTTCGACCGACGGCACGGACGGATAAGGTGTGCCGCCCAGCGTCATAATTTCCCACAACAGAATGCCGTACGACCATCTGGAAGGAACGGTGATAAAAGACGAGTTAAAAGTTAGTGGCCGTCAAAGTTAAGTTACTCACACGTCGGACTGAGTGGTGTAAACGCGGTGGAAGAGGGCCTCGGGCGCCATCCATTTCACCGGCAGCCGTCCGTCCGTCGTCTTCCTGTAGTAGTCGTGGCAGTGGATGTCCCTGGCTAGGCCGAAGTCGGCGATCTTCAGCACGTACTCGTCGCTGACGAGGACATTCCTGGCGGCCAGGTCCCTGTGTATGCATCTCCTGCTTGCCAGATACTCCATCCCCCGTGCCACTTGATAGGCGAAGGAGACCAGGTCCTTTTGCGTGAGCGTTTTCCGTTCCTTCGGCTCCTGCCCGATGGCCGGCTCGTAGCCCGAGGAGGGTCTGTGGTTGCGCAGGAAGTCCCTCAGGTTGCCGTGAGGAGCGAACTCCACCACGACGTAGAGCGGGCCGTTTTGCGTGCAGGCGCCCAACAGGTTGATGATGTTCACGTGCTTGCCGATCATCTTCATCATCTCCATCTCGGAGACCAGATCCATCATCTCGGTGTCCGTGTGACCCTCTGCAGAACGTAATAATCATTTATAATATTACAATAATAGAGCTCGATATGTTGATTTTCAAATACTATTATCACACTGAACAAACTTGTTATTTCCGGGTTAAAAATAGACTGAAAATCCAATTGGTATTTGCCGTGTGTTTTCAGGCGTGTAATTTTCGACGTTACGAACACATTTGATGCATAAAGTATGATCATCGGATAACAACTCTATTCCTTCGTTCACCTTTCAGCATTTTTACAGCGACGACGCCGGGTATGCCGGATCTGCTGGTGTTCGTTTCGGCCTTGACGACCTTGCCGAAGGCTCCCTCACCCAGGATTTCGCCCAGCATGAAATACTCCCGCGGCAGTTCCCAGGCGCTGTCCAACGGCAATTCGTATTCCGACACGTTGTCACCGCTACTGTCTTCGGCGATGACCGTCGACTTCTGCTTCTCAATCTTCACCACCGGCATCAGCAGCGAGTCGTCGATGTTCTGCGCATTCACCAGATTCTGCTTCTCCACGATCACCTTCTTCGTCCATTGCGTGACTACCGCTGCGCGCGCGGTTTCGATCGCGAGCAGCTTCTTCATCTTCTCGCGTTTCAGCCGGTGGAAGATATATATCACCACGACGACGCCGAAGGCGAAGAACACGCAGAGCACCGCCGCCAAAACGTTCACCAGGATCTGCGGTCTCGCGGTCAACGGTACGCGCTGCTCGTCCAACGCTGCGAGAGATCGTAACGATATGTTGACATAATAGTCTTAACATATCAAGTTAAACCGGACTCAATTGGTACACTCACTCTCGACGACGCGAAGATAGGCGCTGCTGAATGTTTCCCCGAGAGCGTTCTGGGCGATGCACGTGTACCATCCCTCATCCTTCTCGGTAACGTTGCAAAGCTTCAGCACTTCCGGATTATCCGTCTAAGCGAGAGAACACAAGATTCCGTTATCACCGTGCTCGATCGATCGTTATGGAACATCCGAGAAAAGAGTGTACATAAGCGCATGCCTGAAGGGTTTGCCACCTGAATTAGTTAGAAGAGATGAAGCCATCCTGTTAGAGAGATCGGAGTTCACGAGAAAGCAGAAAGAGGAGAAAGAGAAGGGAGAGAACGAGAAGAGACAGCGAGGATACTGTGCGCCCACCTTGACCTCCACCCGTAAGCTCTGATTGGTTATGTTGAGGGTGTCGAAAGAGGTATGGTAACCGTGATACCATTCGAGATGGCGATGCGCTTCGGACAACACTTCGCAGATCATATCGGTGTCGCTGCCGATAAGAACCGTTTGATTTCGCGGTGCTCTCGTCAGGATCGGCCGGTGCATCACCGTCTCTACAGGAAACAAAACAGAGAAACCCAACCACCGTTTTAACCACCGAGTTTCAGACAAAAGAGAGAGAGAGAAAGAGAGAATTAAGCGTAAGCACGGAGAGAAGGGGGTGAAGAGAACAACTCGTTTCCAGTCCTCCAGATCCCTTCAACGCCCTATACTGCGTGTACACCTGCTATACATATACTATATTACTACTAGTAACTATATTACTACACAGAAAAATATTCAATTCAAGATTTATGTATTCTAATGAACGCAATCGTTGTTTCATATATATAAGCAGGAATATATCACCTTGCAAAAATTTAATATTCCTGAATTTCAACAATATCATAATGTTATCGCAAGATAGCGATAGTCCACTGCAGGTCACAGTATGATTATTCGAAAAATAATCAATCTTGTTGTAACACTTAAAATAATTATATCGAAAATGAATATGTTATTTTGAATAACTCTGTATTTGAATCAAACGTACGGTAATCTTCTTCCAACGAACCTCTTCACTTCAAAATACAAATCAGGCCTTATATTTGAGACCGTCTTAGAGAAGTTCTCTTTCAATTTACATCTGAGCTTTACAGAAGCTCACGCCAAAGTTCCTCGAGTTTAACACAGAGAGTAAAGAGAAACGGAAAGGATGACCGCAACCATGAAGACATCGCAAGAGAGAAAGAGAGATCTTCTTTAGACAAAGATTGTGAGCTGCAAGGGAAAAGGAAATTAGTTAATCACAGTTGAGAGCAGTCTTATTGGCTGAAGCTTCGTCTCTATACATCCGCAGTGGCCGCATCGTCTTCCTGAGTGAATAAACGGTCGCTAGAAAACTTAAACATCTTGAAAGATAATTCAATAATTAGTCGACAATAAATCATCTAGTCTCGTCGATTGAGCGAGAATTCGACTAAGAGAGAAAGAGAGAGAAAGAAAGAGAATCGTCGGTTACAAGATTAAAATTAACGAAGAAGAACCGAAGCCCTCCACCAGCGTGATAAATACAGCCGTTGTACCTTCAGCTTCTTTCCGTCCTTGGGCACCTCCTCCTGGTCACCCGGATAGTCGGGCACTTTCATCCACTGTATGAAGGGTTCGAGGTCAGAAACAATGGGGCATCTGAAGACTGCCGTACTATTGACCAGAGCGGTCACGTTCTTCGGGAAGTCCACGTTGATGTACGGCTTATGCGGGAAACGCTCTGCGGTTAGTCGCTTTGTTTATTCATTCGCTTCATAACTTTCGTAGGTTTGCGATAACGCGACGACGCAACGGTTCGTCGGGTTTTCGCGGATCGTCACGATGAGATTTTTTAATATTATAGGAATGTTCTATTGATGTTCCATAATATTCTTACATATTATAAAAATGTTTTTAGAACATAAAAAAATAAAATAATAATAATATAGAAAAATATAATGATTAAAAAAATTTGATAAAGTTGCACTTCTCCAAGTACGGGCATCGAAATATATCCAGATTATACTGGCAGCGCTAATTCACTTTCACTCTTCAATTTCGCGCGAAAAGTGACTTCGCTCAACGAGAGTGGAGAATTCACTTCCTCACAGATGAAAAGTCACTTCGAATTCGACTCGATGGAAAGTCATTCCACTCTTCACGAGTAAGATTTCACTGCGAAGCATTCGAAGAGTAGCTGTGAACAATAAAGAAAAATAGGTATTCCACTCACCGATTATGTCGACTTTGAAGGTGTGGTTGATGCATCCAAGGTAATTGCACACGATGCACGTGTAATTCCCGCTGTCCTTCGGCACGAGATCCTCCAACCTGAGGGTCCACTTGGTCTTAATGGCCGAGCCGAGGAGCCGTCGCGGCTCCTCGTTGTTCTTCAGCCAGGTGATGTTCGGCCTGGGATTGCCGACGCTCGGACACCTCAGTCGCAGCATGTTACCGGCCGGTTTCACCACCGCCGGATGCATCTCGTCGCTCTTGTTGAACGCGGGCGGGCTCTCCGGCGCGGTGTTGTTCTGCTCGCTCGCCGTGTCGTTCTCGCCCCTCTCGTTGTCCAGCTCCGCGTCCATCTTGTCGTTTTCCAGCCGCAACGACCGCGTCTCAGGCAGGTCTGCGGGAAGCGCGCGGAGGATAATTCGAGATTTCACGGCGGGAGATTTCTTTTTTTTTCAGAAAAATTCATTTCTAAACGAACTATTGGGAATCGACACGTCACAATATTGTCAGTTTATCAAGGAGACTTAAAAGTATTTTTTACAGAATTTTTCGTAAGCCCAATTTTCTACAATAATTTGTTGACATTTTATTTCAAAAGTAATTTGATGTAAAGAGTAACGCATGGCACAAAGTTTGCAAATTAAATTCGAGAACTCACTTCTGGTTTCGATCTCCAGATCGTTGGTCTCTTCCTCCGGCCTGAGCGCGTCGATCGCGCCGCTCGTCTCTTCACCCTCGCCACCCTGGACGCTGTCGTTCTGCGGCGATTCCACGCGGACGGTCACGTTCCGCCACTCGACTCCTTCGGGGGAGCGCAGCCTGCAAGCGTAGAGACCCGCGTCCGTGGCATCGATGTGCTTGAACTTCAACGTCTGCTTCGTCAGCCGCATCCTCGGGGCGAACCGATGCAGCTCCATGTCATCCTTATACCACGTGGTCTCGTCGTCGAGATTCGGCAGACAACGCAGGCTCAGCTTGTCGCCCGTGGTCACCACGATGTCGGGATTGCTTGTCGTTTCTGCGGCACAAAGTACGATGTCCCGATGTGGAAAATCCCTTAATTGGAATCCGATCCGATTTCCCAAAGTAATTATGGATTCCCATTAGAAGTGTGTAATGTTTTAAACGATTCTAAGTGGAAGCGCAAACAGATTCCATTTGATCGCCCCGATGTTACGTCCCAGAAATGTTTTCGCTTGTTTTCGTAGTGTTGATTTGAATTCGATCGTCGTAAATATGGGCGTGACGACGGGATTCATCGAGTCGAGGTTTCCCGTCACTGCTCGATATATCGATGTTCGCGCTCGTCGACGATCTATAATAATCGCCGTCTCTCGCGGAAGTCGGAGTGAGGGATGTCGCTTGACCGAGCAAGAAGAAGAGGAAGAAGAGAAGAGGAAGAAGAAGAAAAGGAGGAGAAGGAGCGGCCGCTCGTCTAGCCTTACCGCGGGCGATATTCGCGCTAGTTTTCATCAAGGGAACTCATTTTCCGGGCTCATTCATGAGGCTGGAGTCCTCGGGAGTGTCGCCATTTGGAAGCCGGCCAGAAGTGAATCGCGACACTGTCCCTTCCGACGTTCCATCTGGAGTCTTTTTGCCCGCCGCCCTGCCGTTGCCGTCGTCGTCCCCCGAATGCGTCGGGCTAAATTTAGACGCCATCCCTCGCCCGACGTCCCCCCTCTGAATCGCCCCGTGATTACGACCGCTAATAGTACTACGAAGCGTGTCTTCATCTCCGTCCACGATGATAGCGTCGCACCACGAATTCGGCCGAGGTTTCGGTCGGCGACCGTATATATTGGCATGTGAAATGTCTAGTAGGAGCGTTCGACGAGGAGAAAGTCCAATTAGCGATAAGGGGGTAGTTGTGTCGTTCTTAACCCCTCCGAATAAGGATCAAACTTAGTGTATCTTTCAGTCCCCTCTATCAGACAAGTATTTTACAGGTAGTATTCGCTACACGACTATTGCTAACGAATATTGATTGTTCGTATATCCAGCAAATAACAATTAATATTCTTAACAAATCCATCCAAACAAATTTATTTTGCCGTCACTATATGGACAAACATTCGCTGTCCCTAGCAAAATTTGTTTCCTCCGTGCAATGCATTCTCCATCCAGATATTTACACGTCGATGCGACCGTTCCGATACTCAAAGTTATTTTCCGAGCTGCTCGAAAAACATTGGTGGAAGAGGCTGAGTGGGGAGACTTAATTCAGCTCTCTCACTGAGTGGGGAGACTTAATCCAGCTCTCTCACTGTCTTTTCCAGGCAAAAAGAAACTTTCTTTCTTTCCGCGGATCTTCAAACATCCTCGCGTACAAACGAGCCGTTGTATCCCGCGAGAGGCTCTCGACGGAAATCGATCGAGTTTATTGTCGCTCGTCGTGGGCGTCCCGCTTCGCTCTTTTTCGGGATACGCGAGGCACAGATGCGAGGCACGTGGGGTGGCTGCGCGCCGATGCAGGAAATTCGACGGGCATGTATGTTAGGTACTTGGTGCCCGGCATACCGCGCGATCGTCGGAAATTCATCGACAAAAACACGCGCTCCCGATATATCAGGTGTATGAATGAATTCGGTGCCTTTATTCGTGTAATTCAAAGTTTACTTACAAAAAGTCAATTACTTTCTTCGACTATACTCCGCCTATCGGGTAGCTGATGAATGCCCGCGCGGACAAAACTGGCGATTTTGACTCGATTAAGTTATTGATGCTTTCTCGTCGCCGGATGATGTTGAAGCGACCGAAATAGGTAATCAGCTGCATGAGGGAGAATTTCCCGGCCCAATGTATAGATGAGACCCTTCGTCCCTTTTGTGACCGCGCATTATCGTGCAGCAGAATCACCTCCCTGGTTCTATTGCCGGTGAAAGAACTTTACAAGTTTTATGAGCACCTAGGCGGGACACATCGAGCAGTAATAAATCGAGGATCGATTCATCGAGAGGGCCATCTGCCAGACGCCAGGAATAACCCGTAAATGTTCAAGAACTCCGCCGCGCCGGTGTTGTTCTCCTCTCGTCACGAGCTTCCGAGCACCGTACGAGCGCGAATACATGGATGTTTGTACAGATTCGTTCGCGCGACGGAGAGAAATCGCGGCCGACATATAGAGTCGGAGGAATCTCGAAGAAAGAAATGATGCTGTCAACGAGTTCTTCGGCGAATCTTCTTCACGGATAACGGCCGTTTCATTCGTTTTCGTATTTGTGTGGTGTTCAGAAATATTATCGCTAAATCGTTGAATAAAAAGTATTTTACATCAAGGACGAGATAAATGAATCTCAGTCTGATAAAGGGAAAATAATTGAGTTCTTCGAAATATTTCGGTTTTGTGGTTTATCGCACCGGTACTATACAACTCTAACGGTTGTATAGTACCTAACCCGGACGGTTTTTCCTCTTTTTTTTTTTATACCCGAATTCGAGATCGCTATATTTATCGCTATCACAATTTATATAAAGCGGCGATGGGGAAAAAAAAAGAGTGTACATCGTCAGTTAGCCGACGCGATGTGTCACGAGGTAAAAATGTGTGCGTTTCAGGCACGACGCGAGTAAATAAACCGGCCGCTGACGTTGTCAAAGACGAGAAAGAGATTTCCGTCGTCGCGTGTTAACGCCTAATGGTTCCAAACGAGGTAAAAATTCGACATTAAGAAGATCATCGGGTCGTCCGGGAAATCCGATTTTCCAGGAGATGGCGTTCAAATGCAAATTTTAAAAAGTTTGGTTAGTACGATGCGGCCTTATAAGCGTGTAATTATTATATATATATATATATTACTCTATATCGTTTATCCGGAGATTTTGACGGAAAACTTGGTGAGTGTTGCGAAAAATACTGCCTCAACTAGGAGTTGAACTGAGAGCCTAAAAATAATCACTTGTTACTGCGTATTCACGACTGATCTGAAATTGATCTCGGTGAGGCGAAAAGCTTAGGTGTCGATGTACCCGCTTCAAAGTCCCTCTTTTCATCTCTTCGCGGGCCGGTGCAGCCAAAAAGCGCGCAGTATAATCTTCCAATAACAGACCAATCTGTTCGGATTTTCTTCTAAACTCTCGGTGTTGGTTCTCCGTAAGTCGCCGTCGCAGCACGTGCCGCTCGTAAATCGCTATCAAAGTTTCCGCGCAAGCGGAGGCGCGGCCGCTACCGCGGTCGCGACCGGTTCTTCGAGTCGGCCCGAGACAGCTTCATAAATAACCCCGTTTCCTCGCACGGGGCGCGGATAAAATCGCTCAAACGCGATGTAAATAATACTTTGTCGCTGGATCGCGCCAGACTGGCGTGTAATTCAACCGTCGGCCGCGCGAAACCGGCCGAGTTAAAGGAGCGAACACTTAAGCGAGCGAAAATAATGGAAATTATTTCGAACGTTAAACTTGACTTTTCGTAAGTAAACTTTGAATTTCATGAAAAAATACGCCGAATTAATTTGTACACCCAATACTACAGCAATGCTGCTTAGAATCTCTCAAATAAGAGTCTGGTCATCTCTTCGATTCGAGTCGAATTTTTTTCATTTGACAACAAACGGTGGAAGTAAAAATTGTCAGATAATTTCGTTCCGGACGAGTCCTCAAGATAATTCAGGAGTGTTTAGAACCACTTTTGAATCTCTAATCAGACGTGAAGTTTAATTTTCGGCGCGTTCGCCGAAATCGTCGGGGATCAGCGTAGCCAGCCGTGCGAAAATATTTTTGGCACAGCTCGTCTGGAGTGCCAACGATAATCCATCCGTTCGGCCTCGTCTCGTCTCGTCGAAGACGAGAACGAGGCGATCGTGTCTCGGATGCTCTCTCGGCGACAATCCTCGGGCCGATTGCGGCGATGCGCGGAAAATAGGAAGATATCTGCTCGATCGAGTTGCTTTCAGTTGTTTCAACTGATAGCACTTCTCATCACTTCGTCGAGCCTTTATTTCCTGTCACTGAGACATTTTCGCCTATTTAATTGCAAGAGTTTTTTTATCGTCGCACGGCGATTCGACGATTGTCCTTTCGCGTTGCTTCGCACGGAATTCGTTTTGCTTGAAGGACGCAAAATTTCTGGTCCTTACGAACAAAATGAATCAAATTCAATCTTAGAAATTCGAAATTCTGTTTCTCTCGGTCAAAGCGTTCGGTCCAGATTTATTGTTAATTCAAGCAAACATTTTTCTTCGTGCAGGAGTCGAAGTTTTTTTTTCGTGCATATATTTGAAATTCCTCGGAGAAAAGAAAGCGAAAGGGTTAACGTGACATAAGAACACGTGTTTCGTCGAGACGGGAAATCGCGCTCGCTTATTCCGCGCGTCGCGCTCGCTCGCCCCGAACGGTACCAGAACTCTCGGTTCGCCCGAAATAGTCGACGGTCGAGACGCGAGTCGCCGATACGACGCGCGGACGCAGCGTGATTTACGTTGCTTTAATTGTCCCGTTGCTCGGCCATTGCCTTACGCGAGAGACGGTAGTCGCGCGAGCTCCGGCGATTTTCACGACGCGATATATCGTTAAGTGACAAAAAGGAGAAACGCAGAACACGGAAGGGGAGAAAAGCGAGCGAGATCGTTGCGTAGATATCATTTAAGATTCTCTATTTGGGAAGCATAGATCCCATTTTGTCTGGCCAATGAAGAAATATGTATGATTAAACGATCGATAAATCCACGTGGGCTTCATTTTCTGACCGCTGGGATCTAAAAAGGTGACTGTTCCCGGGTTGCGCCGGTAGCCCGCAAAATGAATTCAGTTCAGCTTCCCGGAGAGAGTTGGTCGCGTAAATATTTGATTCGCGAGTTTTTCAACGTGGTAAACGGATGTAGAACGAACGACTCGAAGCGTGGGATACGGAAGTGCGAAAACAAACGATTCGCGAAATCAAACAGCGGCGAAGATTTCACAGAAACTGCGAACCCGCTCACCTGACTGATCTGATCCGCCGACTGCGGTAACGCATCGCTCCATCTCCGCGCGTTTTTATCGGGTTTTCATTTCCATTTATTTTTAGGATACTATTTATTGATCAATTGAGATATTATTTAGGATAATATTTCATTTATTTATTTATCGGTAATCTCACGGTATTAATTGGCATCGATTTTTCCGACGAGAGCTCGGCGATACAGTAGCTCCGTTTCACGAACGGAGCCTATTCGTTAGCGACTTCACTGAGAAACGGAGGAAAAAATCGAGGTGAAAAAAATCCTGAGCCCGTGGAAGCAGACGCGGTGCTCCGTCGCGGTGTCGGATTACGATCGTCCCACGCGTGCGCCCGATCTTTTCAAGCTTCCTTCTGCGCGCTTGAGAGCGCGAGAGAAAGAGAGAGTGAGAGAGATATCCCTCGAACGTCCCGGTGTAACGCGGTCTAACATGAGCGAAAATTCTCGAAAAGGTGAAACTCGACATGCGATAAGCGAGCCTCCTCTTCGCGAGCGGCACGTTCACCTCGCACGGAAGTGCGACTTGTTTCCCTCCTTTTTCGGGCAGAAGAATGTTTCCGCCCACGTGAACGATACGACGATGTTTTTAATGCTGCCGATGTTAGCCGGGTGTTTCGATACACGCAGGTTAAGATATCCGGAACACTCGTATTCATGATATCACCACGGAGACCGGAAAACAGGTACAAGGAAATCGAACTGATGTAGATACGTTAAGCTGATATACAGTGAGAAAAAATAACGCTTAAAATAAAATCTTTTCTTGACCCATTATTATACTCTACGGGTTGATAGTGTGATTTCCCTTTTTCCTCCTCGTTGATCGACCGATCGATCTTTCTGCTCCCGACGAAACGCCCGACCCATCCTTCCTCCCGACAAAAGATTCGACGTGTAAGAACGCGAGATTGCCAGATAGAGAGCGTAGTCCGAGACAACTGAGCCTCCTATCCCGCTGGACACTTTAACGCATCGTCCGTTCGAGTTAAGGTATCGCGTTAATAAAGTACCGGGTCGGGGTATCCGCGTCTCTGTTAGAACGAGCGACCGACGAAACTGGCTCGGCGATTCTAATTAAGATTCCGTTTCGCCCCGGAGGAGCCTTCCTTTTTTAATGGTCGTGAACGAGAGAAGCGTAAGAAGGGGTGGGAGAGGAGGGTTAAAAAGGACGAGAAGGTCTACGGTGCGAGAGAGAGAGAAAGAGAACAGTGAGAGAAGATAGAAACGTCTGGATTCTTGACAGGTTCGAGTCCGCGAAGCGATCATTGCCATGTACGAGTATCTGGCCGCATAATTACAACCTCAAAGCGTATCATCCGACTCGAAAGATTAAGGACTCGAGGAGCCCTCGTTATCTTAACGAGTCGAGCGGGTGCTCAGGTAACGTGTGCGAACGCTCGTTGGCCGGAAAAGCTTCCGCGTTGACTTGGTTTCCGGCTTCGTCAGTATCAATATACCGAGGATAATGTTACATATCCAAGAAAGTTAAGAGCAGAAGATGGAAGAAGTGAATCAAGGAAGTGAGATTATTATTTTTTATAATATATTATTGTACAACATCACATATATATATATATATAATTCAACAAAAATTTCAGCAAGAAAATAAGTTTAAAGAACCGGAACTGAAGAAAAAAACCGTAATTTAACCGGTGCTTTCATCGCCCGGAAAACCAGAACCTTTATTAAATAAATATTTTAGCGGACCGGAACCGGAGCGATTTTTTCATTCGGGTCCTTCCTTTATATAATACTCTCAACCCGTAATGTTAAATCGACGCGTCCCTCCCGATTCGATTAGCCTCGGCAAAATTTTGAAGCTGACACGCTACTGCGTCAGTTGTATATTACCAGGTTATAAACAAACATGTCATCGCCTGATATATACCGCACGACGACGACGCGTGCACAGAGAGGTGCGCTTTTCCGAAGTCTCTCTCTCTCTCTCTCTACTTGATTTTCGCGAATAGACGAAACGGATGCGGGTGGCGGGCACGGGTCCAAGGGAAAAATGCAAGTGACGTTCGTATCGCCGTCATTGTCGTCTCTCTCTTGGCGAGATCTCCTTCGCCTCTCTCCGCGCGTCGCGCTCCCCCCCGTCCCATAAATCGCACTCCGCTGCCATCTCTTTCATTGTCCAATTGGTAATATCAGCCCCGCTATTACGCTGTTGAATACATTTAATAGACAAAAGATCGGCAGTGGCTCTCATCGCGCGCGCCGACGCGACGATTCGGCCGCCTCTGAATTTAGCCCGAGAAAATGCGCGTTTCGCAGCGCGGCGTGTAGCAGGGCGTGCAGTGTACACATCGCTTCGGCGATTCGGTAATAGCGGCTCGAGCAGAGCAATGCCGGCACGGCATTCAATGACCGGGCAATTGAACAATTGGGCTCAATCATAATAACGCTCATACGCGTGTATCGTACGGAGGAGCGTGTTTCGCTCGTCCGCGCATTTATTTATACCGAAATATCGATTCCCGGCCGCGTCCCGACGTGATAGTGAAGAAACCGAATCGAGCCGCCGACGTTCACACCGGGGGAAGTTACGCGGCACGCACGAATATCGGAGGGAAAAACAAAGAAAATTCTACTTTCGCCACGTTTCCTTGTTCTTCATGCACTGATCTACTTGGAAATATGTTTGGATCGTTAATTTCGATCGCAATTCTCACTGAAGATAATTAACAAAGTTCACACTTGGAACAACTAATGAAGTAAGTCGCGTTGATTCGTTACTTTAAGAAGGCTCGCATTGAAACATAGTAAGAACGGTAACTGAAACTCTTATAACATTTATTTATAAGCAAATAAATGAAAAATGCGGCGTTTGCGCCGACGAAGTTTCAATGAAATCTTTACTTTCGTGGCACGCACCACCTACGACGTGTAAAGGAACCGAGAGAGTCCTATACAAAGCCAGGTCTGTTTGCCAGATGTGTCGGCCGAAATTTTCGACGCGGTTCCCTTTGACCCCTGCGGCTGCGCTTCGACTTTCGACCTTTGAGGAAAAATCGACGTTTTTATTGTTCGAAACAATAAACGAGTATCCTCGCTGTAGTACATGAATCGTCCCCGAATCCCCTTCGTGAAACAACCGTCGACACAGTCAGGGATTGCGTCGTAGGATTTCGCAATTAGACACGAAAAGAGAGAACAGTTAAATTGGAACGTTTGACTCAGCGTATTTCCGTGGAAGAATTTCTCTGGTTCTTACGAATGAAATTCGCGATTCTCTCAATCGGGGAATAGTCATCTAACTTTGCGTTAGATTGAAGTATTTTCACTTTTCCTTCCGATATATCCGGTTCTCAAGCAATTCTGTTGTAATTACGTTCGCGTTATTAATCGCCGGGCGCGGTCCGGTTTGGCGACCGCGCCAGCGATCATGCGACGTCATTACTTTCCCCCTTCTTCCCCCGAGCATTAATCGGCAACAAAGTGCCAACAGTTTTGATTTAAATAGCTAACGCACGGCGATAAGTATGTACGCGGCGTGCCGGCACGTTCGTCGGGAAACGCGCCGATAATCGAATCGCGCGTTTTCCCGTGGAGTCTAAGTGCGCGACGTGAGTGTTATAATACACCACGAGGTTTGCGTGCAAAAATCCGATTGGGAGGAGGATTATGCGAATGGAAAGAGAAAAAAAGAATATTCTTATTTCGAGAAGATCCAACGTGTATACGTTGAAATAAGATTATACAGCGTTGGATAGATAAAGCCTGTTTACACGAAGAAATTCCTTATCATATCTTTGGAATTCGTTTTAAGACTTCGATAAATCCAAAACGAGTTTCTCAGCCGTGTCTCGCTCCTTCCTTTTTCTCGTCCGCACTTCCGCTTTTACCGGCTTCCTCGTCCTCGGCGCCCTGGCGCTTCTTCCGCGCGCGCTATTTTTCACGTCGCGCGATCCACACTTCGTCTCGCTCGTTCCTTTTTCAATACGAAAATACAGCGCGAGGAACGGCGATGACGCTGTAGACTTCCTTCACAAATCTTCGGCTTGCCACGACTCTCTCGCGGCATTCGCTCGATGCGATTTTCCGTCGTCGACGGAGATCGACGAGACGTTTTTGTCAAGTCTCTCTCATGGAAACAATATCATCGAAAAAATTATCTAGATAAGTAGCGTTACTTATCTCACTTTTCGACGACAAAACTCGATAATTCCGGTTTTTCGAGATTTTCCGCCTTCGCGATATCGAGATTATATTTTTAGACGAGCCTGAGAAAACCCCGTGGAATTTCTATTACGCGCAATTACGCGAGCGTTCCTGGAAGACGCGGTAAGGGCGCTTCCCTGAACGCCTCGGAATATATAATTCGACCAAAGTATTAATACAGCCGTGCATTCTGCGAATTAATAATTCACGGACTTATCGCGAGCCATTTGTGTGCGCGATCTCGCGACAAGATAATTGATCGCGCACTTCGAGGTGTACAGAGATTTTCCAAGGAAGTATTTTCGTCGCGAGACTGACATCTTTTTCGTGGAAAGGGTTAAAGCGTTTCGTCTTACCTAGCCGAGCAACTCGCGCTAATCCGGCGTCCAGGGCCTCGAGGAGCACGAGGAGGATAAGACAGAACCACGTCGCCATTTCGATTCGTTCGACACCGGGCATGTGGCGGCTAGATGTGTAATCGCGGCATCGGAGACTTCCTGAAACAGAAACCGTGGAGAGAGAGAGTTTATTTATCCTTCCTGTTCTCGCGATCGCGAGTAACACGCGGCCGCAAAATTCCTTCGGCGATGACTACCTCGAAAACAACGGAAACGGTCGAGCCGTCGATTCAAAATCGCGAACGTTCTTACGTTGATTCTTCATCGGCTAATCTTTGTTCGCGGCTTCTCTCCCTCGGTCGAAAAAAGGAGAGAAGCGATCAATAAGATATTGAAAGGTTCGTGAAAAATAATTATTGAAAAAGATTCAAAGTATAACATTCGTTTTATAAGAATGTAAAGCTAAATCGCCATCTTAACTTATTGTAAATTATTAATTCAGGATTGTAAAAAATTGTATATTTCTTCATTGTATTATATAAATATACCTATAATAGTGAACACGCTCGATTTCTCCCACATTCCGTCCTTTTCTTCGGTCGTCTCCGACCTCGTCGTATTTTTCTCTGTTTCGCGAGGAGAGACACGGCTGGCCGACGGCCAAAACCGAAAACGCGGCGCACTCGCCGAGGACAGGCGTCCAACGATTTTAGACACGACGACGACCACGTTGAAATACGGCCCTGAAGAGCGCGGCTTTACGCACGTGCTTCCCGAGAACGACGCGACTCGAAATCTCCGATGTCATAAATTCACCCCGTTCATCATCATATCAATTGATTTTTCCTCGTATGACTCAGCCGTCGCTCCGATACGGTAAGAAGAGTTCTTTCAGCACAGAGAAAAAGATACGTGACGAATAATGAGAAGCGAGATCGTAAGAGATTCAACAACAGACAGTGAGAATATTTGTTTTCAATGGACGGGCGCTATGTTTTCCAGTGCTGGCCGTTGAGAGCGACGGATTGTTTTCCTTGAAACATCCTAACGACCATGCGGACATATCTACCTACCAGGGAAAAAGAGGGAGGGAGAGAGAGACTCCAAGAAGAATACGCGCCTGTGTAAAAGATGTGACAGGGCAGGAAGAAATGATGAATCCAGCGAGCGACGATTAATAACAAGACCTTCGAGGGGTTCCCGTGGAATCTCACGGATTCTCGATGTCGTCGGGGCCTTCGGGACGTCGCCCAGTGGGGCGAACGCATCATTTTTCAATCATTCGCTTAGGATTCCTGTATTTTTCCATGGAATTTGTGACTTGAAATACAAGGGATGTAGTATACTTTTAGTGAATTGAAGCAAAATGATCTGTAATTTACTATTATCAATAAAACATAAATTAATGATTTTGACTTTTTTACAATTTTCATTTTTTCTTCTAATATCTGGTTTCCAAGCGTTTCGCCCCACTGTGCGTCGATCCCCGTCACCTGTTGCACCGATGAAAAAGAGAAATGCACGCACCCTCGCTGCCGTCGAAATTCATCGACGCTCCGTTCTCTCTTCCTCTCTCTCTCTCTCACTCTCCCTGTGTTTTTCTCTTTCTTTCCCGACTATCGCCTCGAGGATCGTCGTGAGAAGATTTGTCTCAGAGCAGGCGAAAAAAAAGGCTCGTAACAGGAGAAGGAGGCAGCCATTTAACACGACGTTATTCTTAATAACGTTACACCGAAAAGATTTAGTTTACAAACGGGTGCCTCCTGGAAAAGGTTCTGGCGACCAGATTGTCCGGACAAAAGATTCCAGAAACAATAACTGCACCAAAAGAAGCGGATTTTCAGTGAGAGTATTTGTCTTTCAAACGAAAATAATTTTCCCAGGTAACCCGTGAGGAAAAAATTACAGAAAAAAAAGTTCTTCAACAGTATGTCTGTAATTTTTTCGTAGTTCTTGTAGTTTCTTTTCCGGTATAGGAAGGCAGTTGTAGCGGATATTTTGCGAAAACGTGATACGAGATTTCTTCCAAAAAATGATTTGTAAAATTTGTACAAAAAGTCAAAGCGGTCATTCATCAGATATCGTGTTCCACATTCGATCGTACAGTCTGTACTTCGCATTGGAATAAAAATATTACCATTTTTTTCGAGAAAAAAATCTTTGTTTACGAAATAATTTAAAATGAAAGCTCTTAACGGAAAATCCTGTTTCACAACAACAACAACAACAACTTTTGGCTCGTTCGCGCTCGTATTCCACCGGTTGATATCCGGGCGAAAATAAATCGGGTGGGAATAAATCGGGCGAGATCGTTCGCGAAAATACGCACACGCGTCGCCAATATTAGAGGAATTTCATATTTCTGTGCGACGTCGCGCTAATAATTCGCCGATTTTAGTAACGCGTGGGTCGCGGTATTTCCACGCGACGCCGCGCATTTCGTCCGTCGTCTCCCACAAACCAGCCTGAAAAGGGCCGCGTTATCGCGATTTATAAATAACCGATCGGCTCGTCGCGTATGCAGTCAACAATCGCGCGGAGAAAGGAAGCTCGTACGCGTAACTGATTTCCTGTTATTCGATGATGAGACGAAAGCTCGATTATACGCGGAAAAAAATTAAGTATCAATTCAAGACTTATCTTTTCTAATAGATCATGTTTCATATATAAGCAAGAATATATTATCTTCTTGCAAAAATTTAATATTTCAACAATATCATAATATTATTGCAAGATTACGATAAACCACTACAGATCACAGAATGATTATTCTGAAAACTGTAAATCTTGTTGTAACGTTTAAAATAATAATATCGAAAAGATGAATGTGTTATTTTGAATAACTCTGTATTGAATCAAACATACGCGAGCAGTAATCTCGTCTCATTTGATCGAATTTTAACGCGGCCGAATTTTTTTGAACAAATTCTCTCAATCGCGATAACAGACACTTTTCTTCGAGTTTGACCTTCATTTCCGTTTCGTACGAGATTTTCTTTTCCGCGTGAATCCGCGCATTTCCTCCGCGCGCAGAATCCTAATTTAAACGCGAGCATACCTGAGGAGGACTCAACAGCCGATAAAACGCCCGAGGTATGCTATTAACTGCTTTACGATACCCCCTCCTCCTCCTATCTCACACGCAGCTCGAAAGTCATGCGGACATCGCGTCATGGATTTCAAGAGCGGAACGTAGAATAGATATCGGAGAAAACGGAAACGGAGGTATCGCGTGCGCGATGTTTACGAACTTAACGTTACGCGCGAGGGAATTTAGTGCTCGATAAAAGGGAGCATCGTTCGTGCGCCCACTTACGCGCCTTACAAGTTTATAGACGCGATGCCACCGCATTCGGCGTGATGCTCGTCCCGCCGTAAACCCCGGCGTCCGGTCGGCAGCCGCTCGCCCGTAATCCTCATTTAGTCGTCGATTAACAGTAACGGCCTTTATCTTGTATTAGGTGTACAAATTAATTCGATGGGACTTAATGTCCCATAACTCTGACTCAAATTAAAATTCTTTTCCCGTCCTATATGGTGATTCGAAACCTTAAGCTTTAAGAAGCATTCATAGCCTGTCCGATAGATGGGGCAAAATCACGGAAAATAATGGAAATGATTTAGAACATTAAACTTGACTTTTTGTAAATAAAACTTTGAATCTCATGAGAAAAGGCACCGAATTAATTTGCACATCTAATAAATTCCTTCTCTATCTATCGAGAGAGACGCGCGTTCGGCGACCGGACGATGATGCTCTGATGCGAGTCTCTTCGGCGGAAAAATTCACCCGCCTCGTCGTATTTCACATGCGGAAAGACAGCATGAAAATTTAATACGCGATAAACGTCAGCGACAACGTTGTGTTGCGGGCCCCCGCTTTATTATCACGCGACGTTTATGTCTTCGTCCTAGGAGAGAAGATTTAATGGCAAACCGGCGATGTAGAGAGGCTAGCTTCGATTTCAGCTACTTTCTTCCTTTCGCGTCCGTACACCACGCAAACGTTCCCCATTCGCTTCTGTTTTCTCCCGCGAAGAGTCTCGCGTTCGGTCAATCAAGTTAGTAAAGACTCCCACGATCTTGCTTATATATGAAATGTATAAGCCTTGAATTGATACTTAATTTCTTTTTTCGTATAATATTGCTACTGAATTAAGAAGATTTGCTCCGGTTACGCTATAATTGACTCTGTTGACACCGATTCTCTTGATACAATGGCATTTTTTTTCCTTGTAGGGAATCCCTAAAAAGTCAAACGTTTAATATTACTAAATTTCGTTGTAAGAACGACTTGTCTGGCTCTTATCTGCCAGTATAATCATCGATTATCTTCCTGCTTTGATCGAATATCCGCGATCGGTTCGGCAAGCAGACCGGCGGCGCGCGGATTTTCTTTTCCCCGGACCGGTTCGTAAGGCCACCTCAACGGGTGCCGTAAACGTTCAGTTTTCCCCTCGTGCCGTCAAATTGGATCAAGTGGTGATCGCGAAATTCCTCAGCCGGCCGAGCTGGCGTACCTTTTATGTATAAAATGTATCGGAATTTTGCGCCGGTGCTTAGAGCGGGCTTCCGATCGCGCGGATACCGGGAGATGCCTCGCGTTTCATCGTCGTCGTTGCCGTCATTGTCCCTGCATTTAAATATTTTTATTTTATTCAAGGCTCGGCTCTCCCTCCGCCAGTCATACTGGTTTTGTGACGTCATAGGCGAGAAATGACATGCAAATGTAAGTTTCTTGCGACATGTAGCTTTATTTTGTCATTTTCTCTGAGAAAGTACGGTGACTTCGCAATCTCGAAACCTGTGAAATTTGCAGAAAATTTTCAGACATCTGGCCGATATGTGTCACGTAGAATCGCAAAATTATTCTCGAAATAATGATGTCATTTTTTAGGAATTATTTTAACATTGAGAGTATTATTTTAATACCAATTATTTTAATACTGAATAATATTTCTATAATATTCTAGGAATGTTACGCGCGCTTGTAGGCCGGTCGGTTTGGACGCGTCTGGTTCTCGTCGGAATCGTAACGAGAGCCGTGCGAGACCGCGTTTTCTCGCCTCGTATAGACCGAGCTCGTCGACACAATCGGCCCATGCATACACGCGCAGGCTCCGCTCCGCTCGTAATATTCAATCGCGACGCGCCGAAGT